ATTTGTGTGCATAATGTTTTAAAAGTTTTTTTCTTTTTTTACATTCTGATTAAAAATGGAAGGTAACATACAGAAAATGAAAAAGAGCATTTTTAAATTTTTTTATTATAAAGATGTGGGGTACAATTCAGGGTTAGGTATACAAATATTGATTATGCAAGTAACCTTGTTGATGAGGTATGCCCCTCCCTCCCCTAGCAGTTTCCCTTAACTGCAAATTCCCCCCCTCCCCTGACAGTTTCCCATTACTGCCAAATGCTTGAAAAAGAGCATTTTTCAATTGTCCATTATCTCACTGACTGGCCACTATTAACATTTTATGGGTTTAACCCACATCTAGTGGGCTAAAGTGCACTAAAAATCAATATAGACCAGTCCACAGTCATTTTTATTTAGGACTAGTTCAGAATTTCTTTTTTTTCTTTTTTTCTTTTTTTTTTTTTTTCTGAGTTGGAGTCTCACTCTGTCATCCAGGCTGGAGTGCAGTGGCACGCTCATGGCCATTGCAGTCTCGACCTGCTGGGCTCAGGTGATCCTTCCACCTCAGCCTTCCAAGTAACTGGAACCACAGGCACATGCCACCACACCCGGCTAATTTTTTGATTTATTGTAGAGACAAGATTTTGCCAAGTTGCCCGGGCCAGTCTTGAACCCTGGTTCAAGCCATATACTCACCTCGCCCTCCCAAGTTTTGGAATTACAGGCTGAGCCACCAAGCCCAGCCGTGTTTCAGGATTTCTTTTTTTGTTTGTTTGTTTGTATAGTGTCTATTTAAATCCTCTTTGGCTGTAGCTGGTTCTCCAATTCATTTGACAGCTTATAATTGCCTTCCACCATAGGGTAATTTTGTTGAAGAGGAGGGCCTTATAATATGGGAGTATTGCTCATGTAAGCAAATAGATAGCTTGGAAGAATTAATTTTAGCTAATTCTAAAAAGTTTAAAATATTTGTATTTAAGTAAATAATACCTCCTTTTTCAGTACTAACAATTAACAGGCATTTCCCCCTGCAAGATAATAGTAAAGAATTACAAAATGCCTTCTCATCCTATGCTCAGTTCCCTGCTTTTCTTTAAAAAAGGCAGCAGATTTAAAATTCCAAACAAAATTTGCATAATTTAATCCTTTGATATAATTGCAGCAAGCATTACTTATCTTATTCCAGTTTTGTTACCTGCTCTTGTCACATTTCCCACCCCAATCCCTCCAATAATTGTAATGTTAATATACACATAAATACTGTTACCCCATTTCTATCTCCCATTCTTAGACAGTATAGCTCCATCAGAAGAGTAGACAGATTATTCCTTCTGCCTTATATCTCTTTCAAATACTTCCTAGGGTCTCTGAAAGTTATGCCATCTCTATGGACCTCAGTTTATTTAGCCTAAATATGGAAATGATGAGACACTTCGTTTTTGAAGATAAATGAAAAGCTAAACACTGTTACAAGAGATTTAAAGAGAGATTACATATGGTTGGAAAATTAAAATGAAGGATAATTCTGACAAATGATTTGGAGATAATCATTTTCCATATACATTGCCACAATGATAGTTACCTAGTGGTATCAATTTCATATCAATGATGTAACCAGAAATCTTCAAATAAATAGGTAAACAGAGCCTAAAGTGTTTTCTGGACATTATAAAAAGAAGGAAAAGGAGGGAACAGCTTCAGGGTCTTGCATTAAGCATTATGAATTGCTTATATAATGCATTTGTGTTTAGGGTTCAGTTTATGTTGGTTTTGTTTGTTTGTTTTGCTTTCTTTAAATTAAATTCTACAGTTACATAACAGAAAAGAAAACTCATTAGCAGATATGTCTGAATTAGGGGATAAAATATTCTAAGTCTTTTTGAAAATCCTTGGAATCCATCCATCTTTTTCTCATGGCACACTGTAGCTTACTTCATTTCTTTCTTTCCAAGCTTTAGATTCAGGTGCCATCATGCCTCTACTTCAGCCCTTTCACACCCAAGCTTGTAAAATTCGTCTTGAAAACTGACAACTTTTTTTTTTAACCTATCTCTTTAATAGATATTTTTAAATAAGTATTGTCATGCACCACACAACAGTGTTTCAGTCTACAATGGTTCACATATATCATGATGGTCCCATAAGATTATAATGGAGCGTAACAATTCCTCTTGCCTAGTGATGTTAATGGAGCAGAAAAATTCCTATTGCCTAGTGATGTCGTAGTCACTGTAAGGTCACGTAGTGAAATGTAATGTATATGCTCATAAAACCATGTTTCTTTCCTTTGGCCCTATCCTAAACCTACTGAATCAGAGTCTAAATTTTTAACAAGATCCTCAGATGGCTTGTATGAACAGTAAAGGTTGAAAAACACTGGTATATGGGCCATAATAAAAATTACTTCTCTGTTGGTACCAAGGACCTTCTATATTTTTGGTTGACTATGCCTTCCTTAGCCAGCAACATAGTGATGCATTTACCAGATAGAAAGGGTCAGGGTAAGGTGGAGAACATGATTCAGGTGAGCACATATTTTCTACCAGTTGGTACACCCTCCCTGATAACGAAAGAATAACCTTGCTTTTTAGAATCACTTCAGAGCTCTTTTACGTGTTGACTGCTCTGAGACTTTGTACCAGGCTTGCTCCTATACCGCTCCAGGTGATCTCAGCCACTCATTATTTAGTGACATGTATTTACAGCATTTGTACTATGAGCATTTTGAGTATATGTGCTTGTGTGGGGAAACAAGGGGAAGGAGGAAGATTGAAGAGCCAGGGATCTCAAAAAAGAAGTCTTGCTCTCACTCCTGCTCTCTCTCATACACACACCTACTTAGTTCACTTATCCTTCATATTCAAATCATAAATGCTTTATCAAGCTTTCCCTAACCCCCTCCAGTGTAGCTCAGGTGCTTTAATTGTATATGCTCATAATACCATGCTTCTTTTCTTTGGAAAGAAAGGTGGATTTTTTTCACCATATGTGATGAAATAAATTTTCTATCCTTTTTCATTTTAAAAAAATGTTTTAAAAGTTGGTTTTATACCCCATCTCCATTGTGATCCAGAGTTTATAAAACCTTGTGACAATCTGACACTGCATTACAATAGAAGCAAAGTCCAGTTTTACTCCCTACTCTGTCCCCAGCCCTAGTATGACACTCAGTAGAAATTTGCTGAATGAATGAATAAAAGAAATGAATACCTTCAAACGATATTATTTTAAAAGTATGATTATCCCCATTTTTACCAACAAGAAAACTGAAGGTTAGAAAGATTTAGTAATTTTGCTGAAAGCCCTGAAGATAAAAATAAACAGAATCAAAACTCAGATTCAGTTTTGCTTTACTCTAAAGCCATGCTAATATCCCTCTTGCACAGGAAGTAAAGAGAAAATTTTTAGGTTGCTGCAGGAGGTAGCAAACTGAAAATTATTTTTCTAGTACAGAAATAAATAAAAATAAGTTTATTTTTATTTGATATACAGTTAGTATGGAACTCTGAAAAGTAATTGATGTTTTAATTTTTTACAGTAAGAAAATTAGCATATGCTTTGAAAGACTGCAAAAATAAGTGGGGGAACAGATTAGTAAAATGTTGAAATTGTTATTGAAGCCATGACTTATATGTCTGTTTTAAAGTTGTTATTTTTTTCAGTTTTTTTAAACCCATGAAAGTGGCCTAACAAAAATAGCATTGTAGGAAAACTTCTAGTTCTTACAAGTGAACACTGAAAAATAATAGAATTCCAAAAAATGCAAGAAAACCAAGAGCTTATTAACCAAGATAATATCTATAAAGCACAAAATACATTTGGTGATAGAAAGGACCCAATGTTAATTTTTATTTCTCTCCACATCAGGTTAACCAAAATCATCTGTACAAAAAAGTTACTCATTATAAACAATATTTTATATGTCTTTACCAAAAATACTGCTTTGTAGTTACATAGAGAAGCATTTAATTTCATACCTCCTTTTTTAAGAGGAGAAATGTTTTTATTACTTATTAGTGTGATTGCAAATATAATCAGAATATTTATATATAAGGTGTTACCTTTTCTGTGTATATGCCACAAACCCTGCTGTATGCAAATGACATGGAGGTAATGGTCATGATAATAAAATTCACTTGATAGCTATTGCCTTGCCCCAGTGTATTGGTCTGAAAGCCACGTTATATATCAAGAAAACCCTTTTGAACCTCCAAGAATATTTTTTTCATCTAGCCATTATCCTACTGTACGTAGGGGGAAAAAAAGACTGAATACAAAGGTTTTTGAGGTTTTTTAATCCTAGTTCTGGAAAAGTTTTTTTTTTTCAATTTAAAACTAAATAGCCAATGTATGTATTCTGACTCATAAATAGCATTTTGATCTATTATTTTAAAAATACTGTGCAAGGAATTAAGAGAGTGGGATTTAGTCCTAGCTCTACCATTAACCAGAATTTGTTTGAGGTACTTAACGTTTTCTTCCTGAATCTCTTCATTCTGTGATGCATTTTCTTCAACTGTCAAATGAAAAAAGAAATACATGTTCTTCCTACTTCACTGAGCTGTTAGGAAGATCAGACTGAGAGATTTAAAAAAATACTTGAAGTAGTTAAAATGTTATAGAAAAATTGAGAATTATGGAGACCTACACATCTCTATGTGCATGCACATACACAGCACACATACACATAAATAAGGGAATTTATTTAAGGGAAGATAGGCTAAAAGACTGTGTTAGAAAAGCACAAGTGTGAAAATTATGGGTTTGCAGGAAAACCATCTACAGTGACACCAAGAAAGGGTACATTTAGGACCACTTCTGTATATGTGAGTTATGTACACCAAAGATCAAACCAGTAGTAACAGAGCCATTGTCAAGTCTAGGAAGTCAGAAAAGTATTTCACTTTCTCTGAAACCTTATCAGATAATTTGAGTCAAATTTTAGAATTGCAGTACTAGGTTCTTGTTCCTTGCTATAAATCCATGCTGATGTTTGTTCTTGACTCTGTTCCATCTCACAGCCGCTGATGGCCCAGGAGATCGTTTCATCATTGGGGAATCCCAAGCTGGTGAACAGGTGAGATTCATAGGACTGAACAGCCCTGAAGATTTCAGATTCATGAACTTTGAGCACCTAACTCTAAACTTTTCCTATCAGTGGACTAGCAAGGAGGGATTAGTCAGAAGGTCATCAAAAAATCTACAAAATGGTGGTTCCCATGAGAACCAAAGGAATTATTTTTTAATTTAAAGAATCTACATTTAAAAAGGATATGCATTTATTAATATATGGCATAGTGTTGTTGGTATGTCTCACAGACCTGCCCCACAAGCTTTTTCCAGCCCTGTGATTGGGTGATTATTTTTTCCTATTGAAAAAAGTTCTGAATAGAGCTATAATTTCTATGTGGTCTTCTGACTTTTTCCCAACTTGTGTTAGGGAAATTTAGAAGAAGCAGATTATTTAACCTCTCTAGCTAATTATTCAGATTAATTCCTCTAGTCAGGGAAATTTGGGAGCTAGTTAGGAAACAGATATATCTATATTTCTGTTAAAAAATGAAGCAATAATGGTAATGCAAGTTCTTTTATTTGATACTTTTGAGACCAGTAATTGGCCATTTAACTGAAAATCAGTTAAAGTCAGAAATTATTTTATATCTTCAAAATAACTATAAATTGAATTTAAATAAATAAACATTTATTTATCAACAATTGGATGAAGAACCAAAGCTTTTCTTTTAATAAGTATGCTATTTGAATTTCTATTGAGTCTTATGTAAACCATACCCAAAAAGCATTGTCTGTGATTTCCAATTTTGGTTCCTTTAAATGTAGAAAAAACCTTAAGGATACTTGCAAAACATAGAAGTATAGAATTCTTCTAGATGTTTATTTTATTTTTGCATTACTTTACAACTGCTTCCCACTCCTAGAAGCATTTCTTTTTAGCAGCATTTTTAATGGAGGTTTACAAAAGGTTTTATTTAATTTTTATAGAAAAAATACCTCTTTCACACTCATATTTCATTGGTTTATGTAATATTTATTGAAATTACAGAATTCAATAACAACTATTGCCACAAACTGGCAAAAACAAGTTTGGGAACAAAATTGATCCTTGGAGTGGTTAGTTTACAGGTATACAAGTGAAGAGTGTAACAGCTTCAAACTTAAAGTGTGCTGTGGCCATTGTTAGGCTTAAGAAGAAATATAGAGCATCTGTCAATTCAATGAGTTGTGAAAGTTGGTTAAAAGAGCTCCTAGATTATTAAATAGAACTAGAGGAAGACTAAAGCACTTTTCTCCTCTCCCTTCTATTCCTCTTCAAAATTTCCTTTTCCTGGAATGGAATACTCAACTGCTACTACCAGGTGTGTATAAGTGCTATATGAAAGCAAGGGTGACAAAGAATAAATAAGTAATAATTTTAAAAATGAAAGGTGACAGTTTTGGCAAAAGCTATGTCCTGTACCTTTTCTTCCTTGGCTTAGTGTGTACTTTCATATGTACAAAAAATAGAAACAAATTAGGGGACTATATAGGAGAATGGTGGTGCCATTGGTGGTGACCCTAGCTCCCTCATTTCTTTTTTTTTTTGAGTTGGAGTCTCACTCTGTCTCCCAGACTGGAGTGCAGTGGCCGCTCCCGGCCACTGAAGCTTCGACCTGCTGGGCTCCGGTGATCCTTCCACCTCAGCCTTCTGAGTAGCCGGAATTACAGGCATGTGCTACCACGCCCAGCTGTTTTTTTGGTTTTTATTGTAGAGATGAGGTCTCACCAAGTTGCCCAGGCGGGTCTCGAACCCGCGGGCTCAGGCAATCCACTCACCTCAGCCTCCCAAAGCACGGGATTACAGGCTGAGCCACCGAGCCCGGCTAGCTCCCTCATTTCAGGAGTTGAGGAGAGCCACATACAGATCTCTGAAGCTAAGTTGGCACCGTGGTAATACAGATTTTTGTCCATGCTGCACACTGGCTGACTTCAGTCCCCATGACCATTTTCCTGACAGAAAGAACAATGAGGCTTCATTCGTTTTTTTTTTTTATAAATGACATATCATATAACCTCATAATTTATTTGACTTCTTGGTACCTATTTCAGTAAAGGACATCTAAAACATCCATTTTTACAACTAAACCACAAAATAGTGATTATTCAAAGAGGTCTCTGATTTCCAATGGCATCTATCCAACATTTATCATGCACACCTACCATGTGCACCAGGTGCTAGGTTCTGGGGATATAAAGTAAATTAAGACTCTAAGTAAATTACTACTCTTAAGGCATTTACATTATTAGGTGTTAAGCTAATAGTATCAGTCAAGTGCTTATGGAGCACAAAAAAGAGGTTGAGCATTTCTGCCTAGGAGGGTTAAGGAAATGACTTTGGAGCTGGGCCTAAGAGTGTTTTATAAAAGCAAAAATGGAAAAGGGACTTTAGAGTGGAGAGAACAGTGTAAGTCAAAACCCAGAAGTTTTACAAAACTGCATGGAGTGCTTAAGGAAATACAAATCGTTTGTGGTAGCCACAGTCTACTGCACATAGGGATAAGCAGCAGATTCTTAAGAACCTTGCAGACTTCTCAAACCTCATTCACTATTAGTTAAGGTATCCAACTGTACTAGAGAACTAGGAGCACAAAAAGAGTTGTAAAATTTAAAAGCTGCTGACTTCTTGTGAGTTTTTATAAAACTTTGATGGGAAGAAGATAAAAACAATATAAGAAAAGGGGTTTTTTTCTTCAAATTACTTATAATATTCTTTATAACTGATGAGTCACACATACTTTACAGCAATCTCAAAGATCTTACAAGAACCAAATTGTTCACTTACTGAAAACACATATGCTTGAGGATTGTGGTACCATTGTATACACACTGAAACAATGATTTGCAAAATGGTTTCTTGGTGTACTAAAATACGTAACCTTAAATCACTGATTAGGTCCACTGATTAGCACTGGATATTTTCAAAGAAAATATTATATAATTATAAAGTGTTATCATTAGGCAAAGCTAAAAAAATCCAATTTAATGTCTTCATTAAGTCAAAATGAAACTGTCTTTACTCTCTATAAAGCATATAAGTATGAAAAAATATAAAGAGAGAATAACTACTGATCATAACAATCTAAGGGAAATATTTCACAAATTGCTAAAATGTATCATTTCAGTTGATTTGATTCCATTGCAGATTATATGTCAACTCTAAATGGATATATATGTGTTTTTATGTATCTAAGAATATGTTTAATGTTAATTTTAATATATGTGAGCTGGTAGAAATCCTTCAGCTACCATTTAAAATTGTTGATCCTATAAGAAGAGACAAATTTTTCATTTAATAACCACACAAAAACACATCTTAAGAGTTGGTTTAAGCCAAAATAGAGACAAATATAGGTCTAACCACAATAAAACTTAAAGTAAATTTACAGAATATAGTACATTGAACCTGACTAAATTGAAGCAGGACTCTAGGCTAATACAATTCACTTCAAGAAGCAACTGCCCTTAAGTTCACTTTAGGATTCACTTTCCACCTTAGCCAAAAAGGCATATTCAGACAAAAAAAAAAAAAAAAAAAGGATCTCTTTAGGCCTACAGGCCCAGAAGATAGTTTGGCATTAACACCTCTAGTAAAAAAAAAAAAAAAAACACATATATCATAACAAAATTTCAAGTGCTTCTCATCAAAAATCACTGCATTGCAAAATGGTCATATATAGTGTATTAAGAGATGTCCCAGACAATAAGTAGTATCTGGGATTAAAAGTTATAAAAATTTTTAAATGCTTTGGGCCCTAAACTTTCCATTTTAAATCCTATAAATTATCTTGATGGAAATTACGTTAATATGTCACAATTCTGGACAAACCAGAAATATACTTTGTTCAGATAACAAAATAAGAGGATACAAAGTACATAGCTCAGTGCCAGATCTGATCTCAATATCTCTTTCTCCAACAACTGTAGGAGAAAAACAGTGAGAATACTAGAGTTGTAAACCAAGGAATCCCTACTTCCTGTAGTTGTTATAATAAAATGAGATAACATATTTTATTCATTCCATTACTTCTGGAAATATTTATTGCCTTTCAGCTATGTTCTAGACACTTTTCTTATTGTGTTTTGTTTTTGTTTATTGGAGATATTTTGCTTTTTTAATTATTTTCAATTGACATAAAATTGTACTTATTTATGTGATACAGTGTGATATTTGAATACATGGACAGCATGTAATGATCAAATCAGGATAATGAGCATATTCAAAACCTCAAACATTTATCATTTCTCTGTGTTAGGAACATTCAAAATCCACTATCTAATTATTTGAAAATAGATAATAAATTGTTGTTATTTATAGTCACTGTATACTGCTATAGAACACTAAAATTTATTCCTCCTATCTAGCTGAACTTTTAACCAGCCTTTGGCTATACCTCCTTCCCTCTACCCTTCCCATCTGTAGTAACCACTATTCTACTCTCTCTGAGATCAACTTTTTTTAGCCTCCACATAATGATTGAGAGTATGTGGTATTGTTCTTCCTGTACCTGACTTATTTCACTCAACGTAGTGTCCTCCAAGCTCATTCATATTCTGCAAATGACAGATTTTTATTCTTTTTTTTGACTGAAGAGTATTCCATTGTTTATATATACCACATTTTTTTTATCTGTTCATCTGTTAATGGACACTTAGGCTGAATCCATATCTTGTGAATGGTGCAAACATGGGAGTGCAGATATCTCTTTGACATACTGATTATCTGTCCTTTAGATATATCCCAGTAATGGGATTCCTGGATCATACAGTAACTGTATATTTAATTTTTTTTTTTTTTTTTTTTTGAGTTGGAGTCTCACTCAGTCACCCAGACTGAAGTGCAGTGGCTGCTCCCGGCCACCGCAGCCTCGCCTGCTGGGTTCCGGCGGTCCTTCCGCCTCAGCCTTCTGAGTAGCCAGAACTACAGGCGTGCGCTACCACGCCCGGCTGATTTTTTGATTTATTGTAGAGATGAGGTCTCGCCTGCCCAGGCAGGTCTCGAACCCGCGGGCTCAGGCAATCCAC